AGTGGACAGAAGAGGACAGCACCGGACTAGAAGCATCCATCCACCAGGAGACACTGAAGCCATTGAGAAGGCAGGGCCAAAAAGTCAAATCATGAGGATGAGGGGCACATTCAGAAGGCTTTTATGAGACAAAAAAAATAGGAATTTCTGGCCACAGAAGATGAAGAAGAGACAGTCTGCACAGACTGTGAGACTACAGGAAATATCCATAAATTCTTTGCTGCTCCAGAGCCCAGCAGCAACAAGAATGCCTCACACGGTAGCACCCACATCAGGACCAGCCCAGCCTGGCACACAGCGAAAAAGGACATGTGCTTTCTGGAATTGCAAGTGCGCTATTGAAATTCTACCAAGAGAAAATTTAAATTAAATGCTGATCATGACCCCAGCTAAGGTGAGCTGCTGATTTCCCCTGAAACCTCATTTTCATCTCTCCTTACTCCAAGTGCAGCCAGGTATGCAACAAAGGCCTCTTCAGCAATATTTTACAGGAAAAGTCAACTTAGAAAGTTTCTTCACCGCTCCAGAACCTATGAAGGAATACAGAGCAGCTATTTGTCAGCAGCATCAAAACTCAGGTACAGATTTAAAAACAACAAAGGGATCTTACTCAGCCAGGGCCTTTTGTTCACTAAATGTCAGAGTTTAAGAGCTGCCTGCCTTCCCCCAGAATTCACAGAAACATGTAATTAAACTGCTCAAGGCACCTTTCAAGGAAGCTGTCCTATGAAGTTGACAAGCCCACCAGCAAGGTTTAAAAGGGCAGCCCGTGGGTTATAGAAAAAAGATTCTGGGCGCTTGGATATTAAAAAAAGAAAAGAAAAGAATGCAATGCAGGTACACACTGCACTGAAGAGGTAATTATCTATCCAGAATAAAATTTTAGTGAAATGGGCTGACCATTTTTTAAAGAACATTACAAGGAAATGTATTTAAATGCATCAAATAAAATAATCTCCTTAGAGTTATAAGAAGGCAACAGTGCTTCCTGCCCCAGCCCTGAGGGTTGACACATCAGCACCCTCCCCCCAATCAAACTCAAAAGCAGAGGTGTGGCTCCCTCCCAGCAATTCCTCCCTCTGCCTTCAGCATTCAGGAAATGTAGCAGCTGGATGCATCTAGAATATAATGAGCATTTTGCTTCAAACCAAGAAAAAGAGAAAAATCATTTACATTCCACATCTATTTTCCAAAACATCATTGAGTATTGATTGACTCAATCACAGTATGCGCATTTGTTATGACAGTCTAATTTCAAGTGATAAAATGTTCCTTGCTCAATATGCCTTCAGCTTTTCCTCCATGTTAATAAGGAACAGTCCCTGCACCAAAATCTTCAGACCTTCATTCTAGGCTAGTCCAACAGTCAGGTCATTTCTGTAGCGGCATGTTGATTTGATCTCATCAGTCTACAAAAATGCAGGGGAATTTCTTTCCAGTGTCTTTTTGTTCAGTGGGCTGTCAAGGTCTTTCAAGGGTGTTAGGTTCTACAGAAAACACTGAGCAAAGGGAGCTGTCCAAGTTACTTTAGGGGATGCCTTAGAAAGCATCATGCTGGACACTACCGTGCCCCAATTTTTTCCTCCTGTGTTGGGACGGATCATGTTTATTTCACCGAAGACCAGGTAAAGACACTAGCTGGCAACAAGATGGACGAAAACAATGTCACTCAAATGTGCTCTGCTCTGAGCGGGTAGACGCTCGTGCCTTGGGAGGTAGAAGCATTGGACTAGAAGCATCCATCCACCAGGAGACACTGAAGCCATTGAGAAGGCAGGGTGCATATGGAGCAGGGCCATGGGTGGGCAGAATCACTCCATATCTCAGCTTCTCAACTGTCTTTTGTTGAAGAGAAAAAACATATAGCACATGCATGTAGGATGCAACTCTGTCTTCTTTTGAAGTTCTTCTCTTCTTCATCCTGACTCCTAGATTCCACTAACTCTCATTCCAGACGCTCATGCCATTCTCTTGCCAGAATCTACGGTCTGAGTCAGCGTTTCCTGCTCCAGTGCCTTCCAGAACTGGCCAGTCCTGTTCCCCCACAGAGTTTTGCTAAGCCCCGCGTCCATTAACTTGAAAAACTTCATTTACACAGTATCAGTAGGTGACAATAGTTTGATATATAACACTCCCATAAAGAGCCTTTCTACAGTCTTTAGTAAAAGCAAAAACTGAACAGAGGCCCCCCTCTGCCTTCTTCAAGTCTCTGTCTCTCTCTCTCTCTCTCTCTCTCTATCTCTATCTCTATCTCTATCTTTCTCTCTATCTTTGTCTCTCCCTTTCTCTCTTTCCCTCTCTTTTTCCCCCCTCTCTCCTTCTCTCTCTCTCTCTGACTCTCTAATCTCTGTCTCTCTCTTTCTCTGATTTTGCTTTGTGTATTAGGTACTGAACTGAGATCTCTGGCAGGGGTAGCGGGGACAGATTTTCAAAAATGAATTGCTTTTTGGTTTAAAAGCAACATTTTTCTTTTACTTTTCTTTTTTTTTAATAGCTTTATTTACAGTACTCTAAACCATTTCTTTTAAAATGAACATTTGTTTCATGCTGAAATTAATAGTTTCTGCCTGTCAAGGTTTCACACAAACAGGAGAAAGAGAAAATGTAGTTCATGTCTTAGCACATATTAGACATTTCTTCTGAGTATGGTGTTTTTCTCAAAGTTCTGGCTTCTTATTACATTTTATGTAGGTGAAAGATTATAGGACTTCTAGTTTTTAAAAACTTAACATCCACTAAAAATATTCAGATTTTCCAAAACATTATGCTCTGATTTTCTTTTGCTATCTGATTAATATAGTGGGTGTCTATCATGAAAGCGAGCTCCTGTTTGCTTTCTACTAACACGTTAGTAATGAATTTCAGAAGGACGTTTGATTTGATTTTGTTTTCAGAGTAATGGTTATGTGACCATCGGCCTCTGTTCCCCTCTCCAGTCTTCTGTCTCTCCATGAAACACTGGGACCTGCCCTGAAGGAAACAGAAGGCTTCTGCCAGTGGAAGGGGCCCAATAATGTCAGTGTTCGTGTGAGACTCTTGCAGTTCATCCTGGGACGGAAAAGACTGGAAACATCCAGCACCCTATGCTAGAGCTTTGGCATGGGCTACACAACCAGCAAAAGTTCCATGTCAGCACATTGCATTGTTGAGATATAACGAATTCACTGTCCCAGGGTGGCCTCATTACCTGCTGTGGTCACCTTGAAAAAGCAGGAGGCAGTTTGCAGAGGAGAATCTGCCACAGCTTACACTGTGATTCTGGGCTCCTTCTAACCCTTCAGGGTCCTTCCTGGCTGTCCTGGCCATCCTGGGGACTATGTTTGTGGTCACTCCTCCTCAGGAAGAGCATTCTTTCACCAGGAGTTCTCGGGCGTGAGCAGCTCACCTGCTGGCCCGGTTGCACAAAGGAAAAGTCCCCCATAGGCCCTGGACAGTTCCAAGGAGTTCCAGTTCTTTGTGCCTGAATGCAGGTTTTTGGAGTGTGGGCGGTCTACGTGGGGAAGGGAAGGTGCATACTCAGTGAGGGACTAAGATTTCTGGGACACTGCACTTTCATTATGAAGTTACAGTGAGGTTACAGACTGAAGATAAATCAAAGCAGAGACCCCGGAAACAGTACCATTCCCAAACAAAGCAGTGCATTAAAGCTCCATTGACAGGATAAAATCCTAACCTTGGGGTACGGTTGGGAGTGAGTGAAATCCAAAAGATAACATAAGAATGTTTATGTGACTTAACTAGCCAACTAAAGGGCCAAAGATGATGCCCGAAAAACCCAAGTCCCTTATCTCTGAGGAAGCCAACCGATATGACAAAAACAGTCAAACCAGTTTTCCCGCAGACGATTCCATTGGAATATAACAATGAATTCCCCACACACAGTTGCATGGCAGCCAGTACACACTGTCCCATGCTCCTGCCCTCCCTGGGCCAAGAAGATGGGCACAAGAGGCACCAGACATGAAGAAGGGGTGACTCTCTTTAGTGCTTCTCTCTTAAGGCTTCTGAGTATGTCCACGTGACCCTACATCATCCATGTGACCTCAGGCAAGGGGGCATGAGCTGGCTAAGAGGGGCCCAGTCCAGAACTAGGACTGGTGGGCCCTGTGAGAGTAAGGCAAGAGGCCTGTCCTGTTCCTGTTATCTCAGTTCCATGGGGAGTTGTGGTTTTGGAGATTGACTTTTTTGCACACAGATGTATACACTTGTTCTGATTAAATAAGGAGGGAAAATGGAGGACCACAGTGAATACAGCGGTGTCCCTTCAGATTCCTCCTCAGAATGACATTGCAGAGAAAGTCTTCTGCTCCCTGACCCAGCTCCCAGCTGCACCCCTCCCTCAGAACTTCCATCAACTTCAGGGAGCTGCTGCCCTGGGGTCACACTCCCACCGGGGCAGTACACAGCCAATGAGTGGTCAGTGTGGCAGTGCAGCTCAAGACATCTCAGAGAAGGTCTCGAGGCTCTCCATCTTCCAAGGATCACCAGAGGGCTTGGCTGCAACTACAATGCTGTTTGATTGCCCCCTTGTCACACACACCTTCCTCACTTTCTTCCACGCAAAATCTCCGAGAACTCTCCAATAAACCTTCCATGCACAACTCTGTTTGCAGGAAACTGAGCCTAAGATGAGGACTAACAAACATGAGTGGACCAACCCAAATATCGCAGGCCGTGTTTTGAAAATGAGTTGTGATCAATTGGAACATGTGTTCTGTGAATTGGGGAACAATATAATGTTTTCCAATCATATTCCTATATTCACTCTGTAGCAGAAGAAAAGATGATTAAATTTTTGAGGAAAGAAACAGGACTAGAAGTATTTTCAGCACAGAGAACCTGTAAGAACTGCAGAGAATTCCACCCTGGTAGGGTGTCTGTGATACACAGGAGGGACCCTATTGCTAGAATGTGTATCTTAGAACTCTACTTAGGCAATAAAGCATCTGCTTGCCCCACAGTCTGTTGGAATCAGTGGTTCCCCAACGGGAGCCTCTTACCTCCAGCACCAGCCACAGCTGTCCACCCACATAGTGATCCGCTCTGTAAAACATCCCATAAAACTTTACAACGTTGGGGTGATTTGGAAGAAATTGCAGAATATTGTATTCTGCCTCAATTTCTTCATCCATATCCTAAACAGGGTAAGAAACAAAAAAATCCATGCTGGGTTAAGAGTACTGGGAAAGAAAAGATACAGATATGACAACATGCTCAAGTAATCAATTAATAAAGTATACTAACTATGTATTTTAATGTTATCATTCCTCTATCTTCAAAATACCTAACAATGGACATTCAAATCCCAATTTAAACCTTCTGTGTTGGTATATCAATATAATTTCCTTTTGGTGTTGTCTTTTTTTTTTTTTTTTACCCACATTAGGTACTGTATCTTTTTCATTGCAAAGGTCTGAATTTTCAAAGCAGTTATAGAGAAGTGGCTTGAAGGACCCAGCGTAGGACAGGTCCCACACAATTCCCTATGCACAGCCACATGACCTTGGCTCTGAAATAAAACGTCAGCCTATGATGATCGTATAGTAGAAGTCTGGGTCGCTTTGTAACTTTTAGAGAAACCAGGAGTAATACATTACTCTTACCAAAAGAGTAATTTCTGGAGTAGTTTCCAAATCAAAACAAGAGTACAATGGACAAGAAATAAAAGTCAAGGAACTTTTAAAACTCCAAACAAACTCTCTTCCTTCAGAGTGGCTGACAAACTGTGACCATTTGCAGACTTCATGCCAACTTTCATGACCATTATCACTCAGATCAGGAAAAGAAACTGAAAGCTCAATGAGCATGGGACACTGGATTGTGGTCCCAGTTCACCATCATGACTTACACTGATGGGGTCCAGAATTTTCACTGCAGCCAGACTCCCATCTCTCTTGTTGGTTACTTTGTAGACCTTGCCATAGGTGCCTTTACCAATGGTCTCTATAATCTCCCAGGTGTCCATGGGGTCGGGAAGGGATTCAACTCCAAGCATCATGGGGTTGTAGTGAAATAATCCATAAAGATGTTTCCTGGTGGAGAAAGATTTTTTTTATGCTGACAGATCACAGGTTTAGAGATAGTGGACTTTGAAATAAAATGTATTTTATTTCTTAACCAGTAGCCTTGTGTTACTTTTTATTTTCCTCCTGTGTTTTAAGTAGCCTGAAAAAAAAAAGACTTAGAAGCACCTTAAGAAGACAGATTTTAACTTTAAAAAAAAGATAGACTAGAGAAGGGACACAACTCTGGCACACCCTAAAAACAATTCTGTAAGTGATTATATTCACACTGCAAGAGGAAGTAGAGGCTCCAAGAGGAGGTGCTAGTCATGACTGGGTAGTGGCCTTGCTAGGCAGGGAGTGGTGGGAAAGTAGCTAAAAACCACAGGTCTGAAATACTTGTCTCCAGGTCAACTTGACTGGAGTTCCCTGATGGCCCCTGGAAACTCAGGTGCACCCTATGTGTGAAGAGTCAAAAGAAGAGTTGGTGCGTGTACCAAGCACAACACTCACTGCTGATGGCCCTGGGGGCCTGTGAAGAGCAGCCATGCTCACACCCCACCTTTCAGCAAGAGCCTGGTGTGGGCATCACACCGAGGGGCTGACAGGAGCCATAGACTCCTCCTCCTTGGTAAGGACTCTTGTTAAGGCTGTGTCTAGATGCCCCCCAAACCCTCATGTGGTCGGTTCTAGAGTGTGTGGCCCTGGGATTGATTCATGGTGCAAAGCTAGGCTCAAGGGGACTAGGGTTAAGGGAGTGAGTGCTACCTGCCCTGAGTAGCCTGGATAAGGTATAAGGGATAGAAAGAGCTGTGGTGGTCCTTTTGCTTGCTTTGCTACCTTCTGCCTGCCATGAACGGTTTCTCCTCTGTGATGCCTGTCTGCCATCCAACTTGCCTTGGAGCCAGTGAACTATGGACTGAAACCTCTATGAACTGTAAGCCAAATAAACTTTCTCTCCTTTAACTTTGAATGCCAGGTATTTTGTCTCAGCAATGAGAAAAGTAATTAATGTTTATCAGGACACCGCTTGAGAGCACAGGTTCCAACAGCAAGGGGCAGGTGAAGTCTGACTCTATGCCAAAGCCCCTTCAGGTTCCTGTACCTTCAGACTGCGGGTACTTCCGCTTCTCAGCCCCCGGGAGGAACAACCAGGCTCCACAGCAAGAACATGGCAGCCAGCTCCTAGCCGTGGCTTAGTGTCCACCAGAGGAAGTGCCTTGTGCTGAGCATCGAGCTTGCACAGACTTCTCTGGGCTGCATTTTCCCAAAGCAAAGGCCTAGGGGCATGGAGTAAGAATGCACTGGTTTTGGTTTTGGTTTTTTACGCTAATAGGAACATTGTAAAAATATTGAAAACCATTACAAATACAAAATAAAATAAAGTCCAAAAGGGCACCCTATTCTCCAAGGGGCCTGCAGCCACAATCTGAGGGCCAAGGGGAGTCCCGCTGTCCCCAAAGGGTGCTGATGGGACAGCTCAGGCCTTGGACCTGCTGGTTTCAAGACTCTCCAGAGCCGCAGCCTCTGCGTCCATCCAGTGTTTCACAAAATGAATCTTTCTCACTGCATGCTCCCAATTTTTATCAGTTCTGTACATCATCTGTGCTGTTAGCTATTAAATACTTTTTAGATTACTTGCTTTTTCACTTCAGTGTCTTTTAAGGGCACTTTATAGCACTACCCTAAATGTAAAACCAGCATCATTTGCCACATATCCAAGTTAATGCAAAAAGATGGTTAGGCTATAAACAATAAAGAATTATTCAAGTCCAGCCAGAAATGCTGCTCCTGGACTCCAGCCTAAGACTGATCTTTCATAAAAAAGGAACTTACGAATGATGGGGAGGAATTTAAACCTGGCACAAGTGTTTCCACTTATGTCATCAAAAGAACGGAAGGGGATTAGTTAGCAAGGGATCACTTTGCCGTGATGTGACTCAGTATTCTTTGGTACAAGCTCTCCAGACCTCTGGTCACCTGAGAACATTGCTGCAGGCTGGGCTTCTGCAAGAGCAAAAGGCGACCAGGTGCAGGTGGCCGTAGGGCAGGCCCAGAGACACAAGTCCATTAGCGGAGATGTCCTGACCTTTCACCGACCGGTGTGACTCTGCACCCCATCAGCAGGGACACCGGCATACGGATTCAGTGCAGGGACACAGCAGTGCTCAGGCCACACTGCCGGCACAGTCCTGGCCCTGCCCTGCCCAGCCGTGGGATGTGGGCCAGTGACTCACCTCTCTGCCTCAGTTCCTTCAGGGTGGCAGTGGCTGCCAGAGGTGGTGCTGTCCATTCACCAGGCTGTGGCTCAGATTAGCACAAAGAGCTCAGTGTCACTCGCCACTGCCTGGGGACCAGTGCAGCCTCACAAACCTTTCCCTGCTCTTTCCACTTTCAAGCACAAACTGGGCGAGAAGGAAATGAGTTTTTCTCCAGTCAGTTAGCTTCAGACAAATGACGGGAGGTCACTGAATATGGCAGCAGGAAAGGCTGATGGAGGCTATCGAATCGAGGGGTTTCCTAAGATTTTGGCTGTGAAACATTTCTGTTAAGTTCATCTTACTTCAGATGCTGGTACAGACACTGAACAAGTGGCACAGCTCTGGCAGAGATGGGCTGGGGACCAAATGTCTTCCCTGCTCCCTCCACGGGAGCTAGCGATCCTGGTTTGCTGGGACTGCCTCTGTTTTGCTACTCAAAGTCCCACAGCCTGGGAAACCCCTCAAAACAAACCCGGGCAATTTGTCGCCTTGGTTCTAGGGCCTTCCAAAGACAGTCACCTATTCAAAGAACCGTAAGAAAACTTGTTTACTCATGTCTCCTTCACCTCAAACCATGATGGCTGACTCACGCCCCTTCCTCAATTAATATTGTCAAGTCCTAACCCCCAACACCTCAGAATGTGACTGTATTTGCAGGTACAGCCTTTAAAGGGATAGTTAAGGGAAAATACGATCGTATGGGTTTGGGGAGCTACTCCATATGACTGGTGAGTTTATAAGAAGGGACTTGGACTCAGGGAAGACCATATAAAACACAGGGAAATGACAGCTCTCCACATGCCGAGGAGGGGCCTCAGGTGAAACCAGCCCCACTGACACCTTGATCTTAGACTTCTATATCTCAAAACTGTGGTACTTGGTTAAATAAATCTCTGTTGTTTAAGCCACTCATTCTTTGGTTCTTGGCTATGGCAGACCTAGAAAACTAATACGCCCCCTTCTCTTTTCTTTTTTTGTTCTTTTTTCCTATTTTTTTGTTCGTTTTGCTTCTGTTTTCTTGTTGCTATTGTTGTTGTAGTGGTGGTGGCAGTGATCATCCTGGGACTCGAACTCGGAAGCTTCACACTGAGCTATGTCCCCAGTCCTCTCTCTGTGTTTTCATTTAGAGACAGGGTCTCACTAGGTCCCTCAGACTGGGCTCAAACTTGTGACGCTCCTGTCTCAGCCTCCCAGAATTCTGGGATTATAGGTATGCTCCACTGTACCCAGATCCCCTCCCTTTCACAGATGAGGAAATTGAAGCCCAGACTGATGACATGGCGGTGTAGGGGCAGCATAGGGATAGAAGCGCCAGCTTCCCTACATCCAGTCCCAGGACCTTTGCTCCACAGAGTAAAATGGAGCCAGCTGGTTAACAATGATCTCTTCTTTCTGACCCACTGCACAAAATATAGAAAAGTTGTATGAGGGGAATGTTCCAATCCAATGGAAGCTAAGCTTCCACAGTCCTAAGGAACAGCAAAGTGCTCCCCTGAAACAGGCACAACTTACCCAGAGGGCTTTGCTTACAGCAGATGCCAGTGATGGGCAATCAGAAGGCGACTGCGCAGCTCCACCACCCTGTCCATCAGGTATCATCTGGGCCTCGACAGACAAGGTTAAATAAAGGTGCAACAGGACAGACGCACTACCGACAGCTTTACCTGGCTTCTCACTTTAAAATCAATACCTGACTCTGTATACTCTGGGTGACTGATTAAGCAGTCAGCCCCAACAGCAGCTCTTCATACGGCCCTATAAGGGTGATCATCTGGTCCTAGACAGCAGCCCAGGCAGCCCTTCTGACAGCAAAACAATGCTCCTGGCCAGAACGTTACCTCTGAGGGTGGACAGCACTTTTGCCTATGTCTGTGTTTGGAGCAGGACAGAGCGAGAGCAAAAGTGTCATCTTCCCTCAAGGTTGACATGAAAATAGCGAACAGGTACAGCAAAGGACGGACAGGAGCACCTTGCTGTGAAAGGGATGATGCCTGGGGCCTCAGGACTCTGCAAAACCCTTAGAAGCCTTCAAAGAGGCACTGGGGCCACCTACTGTCCTGCAAATGGGGATCCAGGCAGCTCTTTGGACATAAGATGAGAGACCTCAGAAGGCTGGAAAACTCAGGTTATAAGCTACAGTCTTGAAAGACAAATAGAAGGGCTGGGTCTATCTAGGCAGAGGTCTGTGATGCTCTTGTCTTTGCAGGACCGGAGGTGGGAAGGCAGAGTCTGCAAACCGACTCGAAGTCCTTTCAGCCCAAATGTATCTCTGCTTGCTGCTGTTCCTCATGAAGACTTGGCCAGCACACTTCATTTCCGCACGTAATAATGTTCTGTAAGCCAGCACCACAGATGGATTTCCCATCAAACTCTCAACCCTCAGAGCAAGATTCTGCTGCCCTCCTTATTTCTGTCATCTAAACCCTTCCAGTACCAGGAATAGTGAAGTTATTAGCAAGGCAGAGGCCCTCACCTAAGAAAGACACTTCCGTTCAGTCAGTAAGGCTAATATAGACAGGAATGTGGGATAAACATTTCCTATCTTTATCATTCTCAGTCAAGTAGCTAAGAAACATCCAAGGTCTTCAGTTTTTAAACTGCTGTCTAGTTAGATATTTACTTAGTCAAAGATTTTACTGACATAGCACCTTGGACTTTAAGAACAATTGTCTTTTTTTTTTTTCCTTCTCTTTGGATGACAAACTTTTAAAAGTGAGGACCGCATCTCTTTATGGTGTTTGAGAAAGCGGGCTCTCAGGCACGGTCTCT